TATATATATATATATATATATATATATATATATATATATATATATATATATATACAAAAAAATATAGTATATTTTTATTATTATTATTATTATTATTATTTTGAGAGCTGATATACAGTGTCCTTTTTCCGTTGTTTAACTAGCATGACTTATTTGGCCAAATTATATAAAAGTTTACCCTTTTACTAGGAGGTAGAAATATAAAGGATATGTAGAACTCCCTCTATCTCTTATTTAATCTAGTTGATAATCAGAGTAATTTTGATAGTTTACATATATTTATCTATGTGTCAAAAGCCTCGTTATTACAACTTCATTTGTTTTTTTTAACTTCGTGTTCATTCAAACTCCAGATAAAGTGAGTAAATAACATTGGGATGTTTTTGATTTTCATGTGCATAAATTATGATGTTTTAGTACAACTGATTTATTGAGCTTATAGGGATGTTTGCCCGAGTTTTTATTTTTTTTTTTCTGGCCAAAAGTGTTTTTGTTATTGCCAAAAGTACATTTTTCAAATTTAAGGTGTTTGATCAAGTTTTTAGAACGGAAAAAAATACTTTTGAGTAAAAGCAAAAATAATTTTTGACAAACAGAAAAAAGTAGTTCTTTTTCGGAAAGCACTTCTTTGAAAAGTATTTTTGAGAAAAAAAATACTCAAGCACTTTTTCAAACATTGACAAAACACTAATTCCTACTCAAAAGTGTTTTGAAACTAGTTAGTCAAACACCAACCGTTTCTACTTTTTTGAAAAGTATTTCTCAGAATAAATTGATTTTAGGAACTTGGCCAACCAAGCTATTCATAGTTGATCATGTAAGTTATTGTAAGTAATTAAATTACTTATTTAGAGAAACTTCCACAATCAGTTGCGTTGATAATCGCTTATCATAATTCATACACAAGACGATAATTTGATTGAGTAAGTTACTTAATTGTGATATATTTGCCAACATAATTACTACATAACATTACGAGATGAAAATTTTATTTCCTTTCATAAGAAAACAAAAGGCAAATTAGATGAACGAATAAAAGTTTTATTTTTTGAAACGTATTATTTCAGAGTTTTTCTATCGATATGCGTTGGAAAGTAATGAACTGCGCCAATTGATGGCGCAAACGATGTATTTAAAAGGGTTGAAAACAAAAAGTAAGTTGAAGTATGTGAAAGATGCCCTTTGTAAATAAAACCTTCCATATTTTTAACGTGTGAATTTCTTTAATATGTTCGATAATCTTGATTCTTGAACATATGGAAACATGGGATTTAAGAAAACTTTTCACATGTACTACTGATTAATGTAAAGAAGCACTTGCAAAATAATCGAATAAATCCACCACAACCCCCTTCTTCAGCATACTTAGGGAGACATAATCAGGTCGCATGATGTTATTGTCATATTACTTAACATGGAATAAGATTATGTCCGAGCAATATCATGGGCCAAACATAATATTACTAGGATTTCTTCAATTATTTTAACAATAATGGCATTAAGAAATATTATTCGATTTGATCTGGCCATCTGGGCGAGTAGAGTGATCTTTGTCACAGATCCTGATAATTTAGTAGATTGGGATCTAGTGTTAATACAAATTATAACTTGATAATTTAGTAGATTGGGCCTGGCGAAGCTAAGTGTGTTGAAGGGGTTTCAATAGAATCCCATTTGCATTTGGAGGAAAATTACACAAATGAGATTTTCTTTTGCATATGTATAAATATAAATTGTTGAATCCCCTTTAAAGTTAAGTGTATTCACCCATTGTGCAACTTTACATTTTCTCGAATCCCTCTATTAGGATTCCTGGCTCTGTCGCTTAGTAGATATTAAGAAACCAAAAGGTCACAATAAAAAATGGCAGGATAAAGGATTACAAATGAATAAGATATAAATAACCCATAATTGCAAGACATAGAACAAAAATACAGTACTCCATACTTAAAATTCCCCCGCCCATCCCTAACGAATGATATTGGAGAGTTGACATGTTAGTGGTAAGACCTCAACCTATTCATTTTGATGTCTCATTAACAAGTCGTAGATATAAATAAAACAGACAATCCACAATAGTTTGTTCATATCTGAATATAAGTAACATAAATTTCTTAAAGAGATCATACAATTAAAAGTGAATTCAAAATTTAGAGTGACAGAGTAATGGATGTCATCTCTTGTATGCATAAGTACATAAATATGTGTATCTAGAGACACATTTTTTTTTATTTTTTTTATATATATGTATTCACAGTTTTGACAAAAAGCGATTAACTCGATTAAACCTTAACTGAAGAACGAGCACGCCTCTGCAATTATTTTTTCTTTATTTACTTTTTGACTTTATCAATTCGTACTGTCTAAACATTAGCAAATTATTCACAACATGGGACATAAGCCATCACAAAGCTACACAAACACCAATTCATGTACCTCCGTCAAACCTATGACTACAAAAATTCAAGCCCTAAACCTCAACAGTAAGTTAGAGCCTTGGATTCTAACTAAACAAATGTAATGCTTTTATCTGCATTATGTAGACTTCTCTTGAATGAACCCACCAATAGAGACAAAGAAAGATTGTTTCCACATGAGCACTTGCTTTGAGAAAGCTATTCAGATGTCCAAGAATTGTGTGAGATCAATTACCAAAAGAAAACAAGAACAATATTGTTTTGAAAGACTCACCGAGCGCACCTTACAACTTTGTTGGGGGACATAATCAGATCATATCATTATTGATGTATATGGTTCTTACTAGATATGGAAAAAACATTATTTTTAAAAAAAGTGGTATGGCGCTATCATGGGAAGATTTCACAAAATATAATGCATGCAATCATTTTGCCAGTAATAGCATATCCAATAATATGCAACTCTCTTCTGAATCCAGAAAATAATAGTACGTGCACTGCAGGTGAGTATTCTTGAACAAACTTGACCTTCAGGAAAAATAAATTTATATATTTACTCAGATCTGAAGTTTACAACTAAACTTGAAACATTTATCAAAATTGCAGATTTTGGCATCTTTTTTTTTTTTTTGGCCAGCCGTGTGAAGAAGGAAATAATAATTGTATAGTCATCGGACAGACAGCAGCAGACCCCAAGTGTTGAGTACTCATGCAATTGCACATAGTACATACTACATATATATATATGGTAGCAGCTTCTTTATGTAATACTTTGACCTAGACAGAGATAAATCATTTCCATTAATGCTTTCGACTAGTATATGATCTAAAGGAACAATCAGAGACATCAGGCTTCAAAAAACCTGCCAAGGAGAGAACATATACAACAAAAATAATAATTATGCCTCAGCAAGTCGGGATCGGCTATATGAATTCTCATTGTCCATGTCACTCCAATTAATTAAACCCCTCTCAAGGAGAGAACATAGAGCTACAAGCTATAACGTCTATCCTCCTCTTTGGTTTTAATTCAGAATGACTTCTATCAGTGCTTTCCATGGCAAGAGTCACCCCAATAAACACAAATAATTAAGGGGAAAAAAATGTTATTTCTTAATTTATACTCTCTGTACCATTAACATTATTATTACAATTGTAGCAACTTCAGAGATTCTAAACAAGCATTTGATTTATAACAAAACAGGTATCTTATAGGAGTATCATAACCCAGTGAAGAAGTGGATCACTTAGCTCCTTTTGAGTAATCAAAATCAGTGCCTGTCCTGTATGAAAAATGAGATGGGATAGAGGCCAAAATGTTTCATAACCAAATAAACTAATTCTAACAAATGTGTGAAGCAAAAATGAGCCTTGAGCTTAAATCAACTCTAAAAGCTAGCTCATAATGAGTGAAAATTGTCCAATGCTATATAAGAAGATAATAACCCATATTTCAACCAATGTGAGACTCTAACACCCTCGGCACGCTCAAGGTTGAACATTTAAGGGTCGTTTGATAGGGTGCATAAGAATTGCTTAATAGGGTGTATTAGTAATGCTTGTATTAGTTATGCTGACATATTTCTTATTCATTGTTTGGTTTGATGTACTAAAGCATTGCACAATTTCTAAAAGAATTGTTTGTTCACTAAAATACCCTCATAACCAGTCCATCACTTTATCTTTTTAAAAGAAACATATGTTGAGGAATGTTTTTATATGAAAAAGGTTCAAAAAAATTATTTGATTTATCTACCTATATTGTAGTATAAAACTGAATATTTATTTATAAAAAAAGAAAATATACTAAGTATTTATTTACTTACTACGGATATAATTTTATTTTCCACTTTCTTGGATTATTTCAAACTTGCATTAATATAATAGCATATTTTAATCAAGCATAAATTTTGAAGGATAATTTTGTCTTTAACTAAGCTAATGCATGCATTAAAACCTATTGCATTGTTAATACCATGGTTTCCTATGCATTAGTTATGCATAGGATAATACCAAATAGGGTGTATAACTTATGCATAGGTTCAAAAGGTACCAAACAAGGTATTATTAATACACAAAGCTAATGCATGCATTATTTTATCTAATACATCCTATCAAACGACCCCTTAGAGCATGGATAACATAAGGAGAGGGTCCAACATTGGCAAAATCATAGAATAACTAAGGGATGAGTCTCTAATACCATGTTCAGAGTTTGACCTTTGACTTAACTCACAAAGTTAACTCGTGAGGTGAGAATTCAATCCATATAAGGAGATAATAGCCCATTGCCTCCACTAATGTCAGGCTCTAATAAAATGTTAAAACATTGAAAAGATGATTATATATGATCAAACGCTTGTGCAACAATATTCCTGTAAAAGCCAGTGCACCCCAAACCACACAAAATAAGGCCCTCTCCTAGTCAAACTCAGGGAGAGAGGAAAAACAAAAGAGGTAAACTTGAGTTAAATGGACACATGACCAAAGTACCAAACAAGACGCTCATACACTTAACGCCCAACTTTTTTGCAGCTACTATCTTTTACTGACTACAAGTTTCATACAGGCTCTAGGGCAAAGAGTTCAAAAATCAGTCTTTCTTTTCCAGCAACTTCAGTAAGGACAATAGACGATGACTAGAATTCCAAGCACACTCTCACTTGCATCAGACATCTTAATTTGGGGATACTAATTGGAGAGAAAAGTTACGACACCTAGTAACTTGTCTCTCCATGACCACAACAATCCAGAGAAACAGCTATAGAAACAGGACAACAGAAGAAATAGTTTGACTCTCTTCTCCACAACAATGAATAAATCCAACACAACCAAAGCAGAATATCATGAATTAACATAAACTGATTTCTTGACTTGGTAGTACAAGAAGAATCAAGCACAATCCCTTGTTTTTCTTTTCGGTAATCCTGGTTCTTCTAGAGATTATATCTGTTTTACACCAGGAAACCCGCCGACTTAACATTGTTCCTCCATTAAGATCACTGAGAAATTGATTCAATGGACTTGTTAGTCAAAGAATAATATGAAACAACTCCTATATTATTACGATACTGAAATTTCAGCATATGTTTTCAAATATTTTCCAACCGCATCTCTTTGAAACTACTCCTTCAGTAGCTCTATCCAGTAGGTGAACTTGTTAAACGCTTCCCTGGAGGAGAACAGAAATAAGCTTTTTATGTCATTTAGTTAGACTATAGACTACAGTGATAAAACATATATAGCTATGACCAGCGAACAGTTTAATACTTTAATTGAGATACCTACAATTCATGAGCTATATAAGATCATAGAGGAAAATGTCTAAACAAATTTGTAACAGTGGGTCAATTTAACAAAATAATAAGAAAATTTCTCCGCTAGGTTATAGGTTGTCAAAATGCACGTGTTTGATCAAGACAAAGCAATTATAGATAAAGATCATGTTTACTACAACTTCAAGAACATCCCAGACATATCATGTCAGTAACCAGTGGAAACTCACTCTGCAAACAAAAGCTGCTGCAGCTAAGTCTGAAAAGATATCTAGTTAATCAAAGTCTATTTGCATTATCAATATCAATATCAAAATCACTCTGAAATGTGGCACTGTACCTTTGATCGAAACCACTTTGTTCTTTCATAAGGCAGTGATCCCTGTGGATATTCGTAACCCAAATGAGAGAAGTCCTCCTGAGGGAAGCTTTTACATAATTAGGTGCTGTTTGTTCAACTCGTTTTGCGAAGCAATACGTCAGCATCTTGCAGAGGAAACAATTAAGATCCAGACTCATTCAGGAGTGGACCTATTATAAGGCAAAACAGCTTTTTGCTTCTAGGGCAACAGTAGAGGCTTAGCAACTTTGTCTGAGATGCAATGTAGAATATGATGCATGATCAATTCCCTTGATGATAACTCTTCTCTGCCAGAAATGAAAATGAGAAAAATGAAGAATACAGGTGTATCTTGTTCAAAAATTGGGATCATAACGGAAGGATGATTAATAAATCAATTAAGGCCATCAATACATCGAATACTGAAAACTCAAAATCCAAGCAAATAGCAGCTAAAATTTTACCACTAGCAGCTGATAGTCATGCCAACAAGAATTTTCCCCATATCGGTCAATGTACAACTTTGCCTCTATCATAATATGAACTTTTCCAGCTGCATCAACTATCTGTGTGAGTGAATGGATTTAGCAACATGTCTGCATGCTTTGGCTCAGTTACTGCAAGATATGTGCAGCCATTTCTTCCCTAGAATCCTATATGAAGATAAAGTTATTAACTCCAAATCACCGGTGACAGGTAAAGATAGAAAATTAACATTCTTAAATGAAACACAAAATTTCATTACAGAAGATATAAAGTAATGTTATGCCTGCTATCAGGATAAAATTCACGAAAATAATGCCATTGGCCACGTACTAGCTATATGTGAAGAAAGAGAGGGAAGAACAATAGGAGAAAGAACAAATAGATAAAGTGCCCACATTGTACTCTCCTTTCAGCCAAAAACATGTCAATCTAAACTCGTATCCCTGGGACAAGAACAAATTTCATGGCCAAGGCATGAGGATACAGATATCCTGCATGAGTTATAAGTACTAAGTAGATTGCGATATTCTACAGAACATTTATTCTGGCACCATTGAGAATAATAGGAATATAGGATACCTCAGATACCTTCAACAAGTCACAAATTTGTAGAATTCATTCATCATGGAAAAAACAAAATGAAACTCTTCTCAGTTACAGTATCAGCATGCAGATTAATGGAAAGACCAGTTTAGTAGAAACGTGTCATGAGAAGCGGATCCTAATGAGGTCAATCAACAATTTCAGGTGAGATTAGATCTAAAATGTACTGCATCGATATGCAATCACACACAGCCAAGCGTCAAAGAAAAAATTGTGTAGATCTCTGTTACACATTAATTAAATTATTTTATCCGGTTATATTCATCATCATTGATCTATTTTTATATTTTAATTTGCCTTACATTTTTTTTCCTGCTAATTGTTTTACCTGTTTAGTTGAAATTTTGTTTCTTTTATTCTGTGCTCAATATTTGAAAGTTGAATTTCTTAATTGAATTATTATTAATATGAAGTATTTGACATTTTTAAATTTGGTATTGAGGCAACGTGCTAAAAATTGTGAAATATTATTTTTGCTGAGTTATTCATTCCCGAATATTTTGTGAGATTTTTATACTCATTGCGATTGAGCCGTGAGCTCCTTATTGTGAAAAGTATTGTTGTTGATGATTTATTTTGGCAAGTTGAAATATTTGGGCACTTGAGGTGCAAATTGTGAAATATTGTGATATTAATACGTATGCAGTGGTATAAGATATGTGTGTTGAAATGCATGCGGTGAGATAAGGGTGGCTTGATACGCGTGGCTAGCAGGGGAACTACTAGAAGTCATGCGGTGTGATAAGGGTGGCTAAAACGCGGGATGCTATTTCCGAAAAAATATTTTCTTTAAAAATTAAATGTGAAGGCTCCCGCGGTGATATAAGGAAATGAGATATTGTGAATTTATTTATGATTTGGGACTACGAGGCGGTACCTCAGGAGTGCCCTTATTGATATTTCTTTATGGCTGCATTTGCCTTTGGTTATTTTGATGTTTTTCTTAAAGTTGTAAATTTCTGTTTTCCTTCCGCGAGGTGTTATTTGCCCTTATTCTGTGTAGTTAAATTGTGACATACTTACTTGATTTATCCCCATTGTCATTATTATTATTATTATATTGTTAAACGTTTCCTCTTGTCTTTTATTATTCCAGTAGGATCTAACCTGACCTCGTCACTACTCTACCGAGGTTAGGCTTGGCACTTAATGGGTACTGTTGTGGTGTACTCATACTACGCTTCTGCACATCTTTTTGTGCAGATCCAGGTACTTCCTATCAGACCAGGCATTCGTGAACTAGCCGTACGCGGAGACTTCAAGGTATATCTGCCAGCGTCTGCAGACTTCGGAGTCCACTTCTATCTTTATTATGTTGTTTTCCTTATTCTCTTTAGACTCTGATGTATAGAGACACTTAGAATAAATTCTTAGAAGATTATGGCTTATTTCTATCGGGTTTTGGGAGTTGTAACTATTTGAATCGCGGTTTGATATATTTTATATGTTGAGATTTGAGTTTCAGTTTTGTATTGCGCATAATTGATAGGCTTATCTAGTCTTAGAGACTAGGTGCCATTACAACATCCTACGAAGAGAGATTGGAGTCGTGACAGGAGGGTTTAGGGTGCACATTTCAGTTAAATAAAATTAAATATACTTACATATATCACAAGGATCAAAATAAAATGTATCAATATTAAAAGCGCAAATTTGATTACACTAATCTAAAAAATCGGTCCACTATAGTAATATTTCACATCATTCTACAGTAAACAATAGGAGTAAATAATAGAGGAAACTACGTCATATACCTACAAAACAATAAAAAATTACCCGTCTTTACTCATTTTAAAACTAATTACATAAACTTTCTAGCTTATAGAATCATATTACCCACCTGCTCAATTTTTCAATCCCCTAATTCATGAAAAGCCCCTCTCTCTCTCTCTCGGTCACTCACTCTCTCTCTTTCTCTCTTCTTTATTATACAACCCTAACTTCTCCAAATCTCTTCCTTCTTCTTATTCATATGTAGCAGGGGTAATTTAGGGGAATCGAATGCTACTGGTGAAGGTACATGAATGAACATGGAAAAACTAGTCGATCATAATTTTCGATGGTTACACTGAAGCTTATAATTTAAATCGGAGGCCTGCATATCGTGTTTGTAATCATGCTGGTGTTAAAATTTAGTTGTAACCATCATTGTAAAAATTATTCTCAAATTGAAGTATTTCAGTGGAGATTTAATCAGATTTGAATAAAAAATTACAGCTAAAAGCTTGATGAACACAAATTAATTTTTGATGATTTATTGATGTTTGAACTAATTTTTGATTGGATTTTTTTTGGATTGTTGTTTGAAAGTTGCGGTAAAATTTTAGTTCATTTGAAGTAGATTTTTGAATTTTATGTTGAAATTGAGTTAAACTAGAAAAAAAGATGAATTTATACTGCATACTGAAAAGTTATATTGTATACTGTATCGGTATACAATATTAATTCAAGAGTATATAATTAGTCACAATAGTATACTACCAATTTTTTTGAAAGAATGAACCAATCCTATATATACCAAAATAACATACTATATATTATTTTGATATATAATATTTTAATTCGATAGTGTATAATTTATCGCGTTAAACTGGCAAAAAAGAATTTGTACTGTATACCAATATGATATACTATATACCATTTTGGTATACAATTCATTTCAACGATATACTGTTACAGTTCCCTTGAGCGCTTCGGCGGCGGATAGCAACATGAGCAAAACACTCTGTTGCGGCGAGCAGCCGGTTCTTATTGCATTCACCAAGATAATCTTGCTCGCTCCTGAACTCTGCGGCGAGTTCAGCCACCATATCCGGATCTGAGTTCTGCTCGAGCGTAGTCAGCCAGCTTCGCGACTTTCTTAGCTTCCAGCATTGCAAAGGGATAACCTTTCAATATCTAGGCGCCCTCAAAGGAGTACTATATCATATAACAATATACTATTATAATTTGGTCATTTTAGAATTTTCTAAAATTTTTACTGAGTTCTTTTTCAATTTTTCGACGGAGTTCTCATGCTTTTTTAATTTTTTCTTTAAACCAAAATATTTAGTTTGAAATATTTGATTGGTTCATTCTTAATTGCACTACTGGCTACATTAATTTACATTATAGCCACTTGCTGTTTCCCTTAAAAGCACTGCATCTAACCAAGAATCCCTTGGAAAAAAGTGCTCGTTTAATCCCCGTCTTTTACGATCATCACAATTAGTACATCCCTTAATTTTGCAATACTGTGCCCTGTTAGGTGACAATAGTTGACCATCAGAACAATTTCAGATAGTAACTTTCTAGTTGCATAATTTGAACCTCTATATTTAAAATAGAATGCAGTTTTTAGCCACCAATTCGGACACACACCATATGGATGTTAAAATTTGTGGCATGTTAATAGAAACTGAAATAACTCTACAGCCAATAAAGATGAACTGATAATTTATCTTTTAATCACAAAAATGAAAACCGCAAAATTTCATGTTTCTTTCCAATATTATCAAATACCTCAACGAACAACAAAAATGCAAGTTAGCAGGATGTTCTTGAATTACGTTACCACAATTAGTAAATAAAGAGAGGCTTTATTTACTACGAGCAAAGGTAGAGGGGCTAGAGGTCCATTAAGCTTAAGAATCAGGGTACGGAAAGAGCATTTTACCACAGTACTAGAAACACTGAAACAACAGCAATTTAAGCGAAACAAAACCTAAACAATCACAATATAAAATTCAAATACGCTGTAAAAAAGGCAGTGCAATATTTGCCTTACATATATTAATGCTTATGCAATTTTCACTGTTGGAGATTTCCGATACAGAGTAGGAATGAGCAGTTGCCGGCGACGGAGTTGAGAACGAGATTGGGACTTCCGGCGAAACTACGGCGAACAGTTAGGAGTGGAGGTTATAAATCGGGTCTTGGTTCGGGTTGGGTAGTTATGGCGGGTAATGTTATAAAAGAATTACAGTAAGATAACCAACACTTTTAGCCCGTCACGTATTGGTAATTATAATTGTAGTCTTTCTTATACATGATTAAACATATTTAATTTTCAATTAATTAAAATATATACTTCTGATCCTTTTATGAAGGAAATATGTTACATCTAAATAATTTTTAAAATTATAATTATACTCAAATATGGAGTAATAATACAAACTCAATATAATACATGCGAAATTAAATGATTTAAAATATAGCTAATAATTCGTTAGATTTGTGAAGATCAACTAGCAGAGGTGTAATGATCCGGCCAGTTGTTTTGAGAGTTGTAGCCTCATTCCCCCATTTATTGCTTATTCTGTACTTTATAGTTGTATTGTGACTTGCCGGGGTAGTCAGTTCGAGTCCGGAGATATTTCAGAATGAATTGAGACACTTAGTCTCAAGGTTGAAAACTTAAGTTGAAAAGGTTGACCCGATATTGACTTATATGTAAACGACCCCTCAATAAAATTTTAAAGATTTCAACAGCTCCGTATGGTGATTTTGGACTTAGGAGCGTGTCCGGATTTTATTTGGAAGTCCGTAGTTAAATTAGGCTTGAAATAACTAAAATAGGAATTTAAGTTTGGAAGTTTTACTAGTGAGTTGACTTTTTGATATCGGGGTCGGAATCCGATTCTACAAATTTGAATAGGTATGTTATGTCATTTATGACTTGTGTGCAAAATTTGAGGTCAATCGAACTTGATTTGATAGGTTTCGGCATCGAATGTAGAAGTTGGAAATTCTTAAGTTTCATTAAGCTTGAATTGGAGTATTATTCGTGGTTTTAGCGTTATTTCATGTGATTTGAAGTTTCGACTAAATTTATATGATGTGTTAGGACTCGTTGACGTATTTGGTTGAGGTACCGGGGGCCTCGGGGTGAGTTTCGGAGGGTTAACGGATCAATTTTTGGACTTGCAATGCTGCTGGAATTTTTCTGATGTCTACACCTAGTTTCCTTCTTCGCGTTCGCGAGAGGGGTCTCGCGTTCGCGAAGAGGAACTGGAGGCAGGCGAGGTTGTTCATCGTGTTCGCGACATGGTGCTCGCGTTCGCGTAAGGCAAGGAGGTGAGGCTACGCGTTCGTGATTGGGCATCGCGTCCGCGAAAGGGAAAATGGCTGGTGAGGATTTTTGCCTTCGCGTTTGTGAAGGTTTGCCTGGTAAAGCATCGCGTTCGCGACTTGGGTCTCGCGTTCGCGAATGGCAATTTTTGGGCAGCACAATTTTGTGCTTCGCGAACGCGAGGGACTTGTCGCGTTCGCGAAGAAGAAATGCCTGGACAGAAAGTTTAAGTTCTGAAAATGGGACTTTTCCATTTTTGACGAAGTGGAGCTCGGGACGAGGCGATTTTCTGGAGATTTTCAAGGAAAACAACGGGGTAAGTATTCTTAACTCAATATTGGTTAAATTACCCGAATCCATGGTTATTTTTAACATTTAATTGGTGATTTGAGTTGTAAATTTGTGAAAACCCTCTTAGTTTAGAATTTAGTTGAAGATTTGAGGGTCGAGTTGATGTCGGAAATTAGTAATTTTGGTATGATTTGATTCGTGGTTGAATGAGCATTCATATTTTGTAACTTTTATCGGGTTCCGAGATGTGGGTCCCACGGCAATTTTCGAGTTAAATTTCAGATTTTGTTGGAAAATTTGTATTTTCATATGGAATAAATTCCAATAATTTGTATTGATTGAATCGAATTAATTGTGACTAGATACGAGGTTTTCGGAGGCGCGAGACAAAGGCATAGCGGGGTAAAGAATTACCCGGTTCGAGATAAGTGACTTGTCTAACCTTGTGTGTGTGTGGGGGGGAGGGGGGATCCCTTTAGGATTTGGTACTGTTGTGATAGTTTGTGATATGTGAAGGCCGTGCACGCAAGGTGACGAGTGCATACACGTGCTAAATGTTGAAATTACTGTTTTAGCTATGTAGTTTCCTTTTCATGCCTTAATTGAGTTAGTTTAGCATGTTATAGTCGCCATNGGGGGGGGGGGGGGGGGATTTCCCTTAGGATTGTATACCAAAATGTTATATTGTATATCGTATTGGTATACAATAATTAATTCAAGAGTATATAATTAATTACAAAAGTATACTACTATAATTTTTGAAAGAATAAACGATTCCTCTATATACCAAAATAACATACTATATACCAATTTTGGTATTTTTCACGTTTTTTCATTTTGTTTCTTAAATCAAAATATTTAGTTTGAAATATTTGATTGGATATTTGTGGCTAAAGTTTGAGCCAATTTGATAGAAATTCTGGAGAATGTTTTTGAAATTTAGGTTGAAATTGAGTTGAACTAGCAAAGAAGACTAATTTGTACTATATACCAAAATAATATACTATATACCAATTTGGTATATAATATTTAACTCAATAGTGTATAATTTATTGCATAGTTACAGTTTACGATAAAATGTAACAATACAGTTAAATTTGGTATTTTTTAAATTTTCAAAAAAAATCAATAGTTCCTTTTTTAATTTTTTAACAAAGTTCTCGATATCATATACCCTGTCAGTATATGATATATAGCATGTGTGTATGGTAAAATAATTTATTTTATAGTAATTAGTATATTATTATAAAAGCATGAATACAGTGTTGGTTGACCAAAATAGCCCTAAAATATATAAAATTATAAGTTATTTTGGTAAAATGTAATAAAAATAGCAGCTACTAATTATCTACTTGGATTAGAGAAGTGCATAAACGAAACTCAATCCCAATTATACGAGATTTATATAGTCTTACGTTTCTTTAGTTCCATTTATAATACTGAACTTCCTTTTTTTTTTTTTTTTTTTTTTTTTTTTTTTTTTTTTTTTTTTTGCAAATCCTTCATGTGAAATTAAAAAATAATAGGAGAGAAGGAACCCAACGATAGATTTGTTCATCACTCAATGTAAATTTTTCTACTTCTTATGTATAATAATTTCTTTTAATAAATCTATCACAATTTGTTTCAAAATTCAAATCAAATTGAAATAGTTGTGAAAATCAAGAGTTGAAATAGGAAAACTGTGTCTCTGGACCTGCACTTAATTTATAAATTATAGCTGTGAACTAATTAAAGACCATAAACTTAACGTGTGCTGCTGCATGTTATGCTCGATATGAAAATATTTAAAATTTTAGAAATTCTAATTAAGATGATCTAACACTATTAACTATCTACAATATATAGAGAGTATTAATTTAATTAAGGGAGAAGAACATCACGAAAGAGTCAAGGGACATCCTTCTCAATTTATATTGGAAGCATAATAAATTTTTGAAGTCGAGTCTAAGAGTCCGTTGAATTGAAACTTTTGAGTAATCAATAATAAAATAATTATTTTTACACACACTTAAAAGAGTTTATAAGGACATCCAGCTTTAGTATGATGAATAAATTAACGTAATAAAAATTTCAGCATACCAATTGAGCCGCTGAGCATGTGACACAAACTTCTAAGAATTAAAATTGGCTCCTAATAAAAAAAATGCAAATGGTAGTTATTTTTCTCATGCTCTCGGCGCACGTGAATTAACGTATGCCTCATGTGTCAGCCATGGTGAAAGGGAGAGGTAGAGGACGCGGTAGACCTAAGAAGCAACCCTTAGCTAATTTTGTAAGCTCAGTGGTAACTCGTAATCAACCACCGATGGAGAAATCGACGCAAGAGATAACTATACCAATGTCTGTCCCCATTGTAGATCCAGCTCCAATTGGAGGCACTGCATGTGAAAGTGGCTCTTCATCGACGAACTCTGGTATCTCAAAGAGGCTAGATCTGAACACCCCAGTGACAATTGGTCAATTAGCATCTTCCCCGTTAGTGCCAGTCACTGGAACAGTAAATATGGTAAATCAAGCTCAAAATCAAGTAAGTATTCAAGGTAACGCGGAGAAATCAACAGCGGTAGAGGTGGCGATGGCTGATTAGCCTACTAGACCTAAATCCCCACGGACAACTCTGTTTCAGAAGAATAGATTTGCCACCAATGGTATGTCACTATCCTATATTCCGTCACAAATTATTGGTGGTCAACCTGTGGTTCAATTAGATAAGACAGAAGTAGAAGAGGAAGAGAACAAATGGAGATATGCATTGATAGCATATATCATAGGTGATGGCCCAGGGTACAATGTACTGAAGCGATACATCAAGTTGCATTGGGCACATGTTACTGAACCTGAACTGTTCTATCATGATGAAGGCTATTATATCATTAAGTTTCAGTCTGCAGCAGATGCACAAGAGATATTATATGCTGGCCCTTACTCAATTGCTAATAAGCCCATCATTCTAAAACCATGGACTCCAAATTTTGATTTCACAGAGGAATTCCCTACTGTTATGCCACTGTGGGTAAAGTTTCCTAAATTGCCTATGTCGTGCTAGAGAGTTGGCTCTTTGAGCAGGGTTGCTAGTGTAATTGGGACCCCTGTCTTTGCTGATGAGTGTACTACTAAGAAGACTCGAGTATCCTATGCTCGAATGCTTATTGAAGTTAATGTTACAAAAGAATTACCCACTGAAATCATGGTTATGGACCCTTATGGAAAGAACTTTCAACAGTCTGTAACCTATGGCTGAAAACCTGCTTATTGTGATAAATGTTTGGTTGTGGGGCATAAATGCACTACCCAGACACACCCTATTATGTAACAGCCAAATCAGATAAGGAGAGCAAGGGGTAACAAGGCTATCACACAAGAATGGAGAACCAAAGGGCCTACACATGTTGCAATTGAACTTCAGAATGCAAAGCAACTTCCATCTGTTGAACAACAACTAGAGGGTAATAATATAAAAGTTGTAGCCCAAAAAGGAATAACAAGGTTACCTGACCCTAGAGGGACTAATGCTCAACACAACATAATACTACCTGTAGCTGCAAAGGAGAAGCAGGATGACAAAGGCAAAGTAATGCAGAATAACCCTGAA